TTGGGGTTCCATGTTAGTTGGGAGGGTAGTTGGTTACGTCACTAGATGGCATTGAATGTTCGATTCATTTGGGTGTTAGCGTTGCAAGGGGGGCCCCTTTCATTGGTTATTTGAAGATGCCCATGGACGGGTCCGGGCACCCGAAGGAAAAGGAGGTTTTTATGCGCCCAGTAGTCATACCTGGACTGTGCAAAATGCTCAGTAGAAATAGGAAAAACCCTGGCTGTTGCAACCCCAAATCATAGGGGAGGTGAATTCATTCCCCTTTTTCAGGGTAGTTTGAGAGTCCAGGTGGGTGGGTTTAAATTGGTTAGACAGTATTCGGACCCTTTGTTTTGTGGGATCCTCAACGTTCCTGAGGGTTCTAAGCAACCCGGTTTTCACATCGCTGCTGGTTCCAGTAGGAATCAAACTGGTTTCTCGAGACGGTGAACTCAACATTTTGGGACAAGGGGCCCTCGAAAAACGGGGTCAAGTTGCTGGTGCTCAGCAGGGAATGTGGGAATGAACTCAAGAATCCCCTTCAAGGAAACCACCAGTTGGATGCTTTTTCCAGGGTCATCGGACCAAGCCAAAAGGAGGAATCAACATGGAACCCTGTGTGTGTCAAACAAAAAGGCATGGGCCTTAAACCGCCCCCAATTTCTGCGGTTCCCTCAGCAAGTGCAACGGCCATGGGACCTGCCGCCCCTGAAAACTCGGAGGGAAACATCCGGGAAACCGAGGCGGCGCCCTGGGCGCAACTGGTGCCTTTGGAGGAGCACGTCTCCGTGACAAAGCGCTGCGCCGCCGCGGAGGCGATCTCCGGAGATCCTGAGGGAAAGGGACAAGCCAGACCGGGGAATATCATACAGGTGTATATATATTATACATATTCATAGATATTATATATATATATTTGTCTATCTATGTTGTTTTGGAAGGTACTATGTTTTTTGGTTGTTCGAAGGGAAATCTCAAGGACTGCCACCATTTTCAGTCGCCCCCTATTTTCACACGTGCCCACGTGATGGGCGTTTATGTTGTTTTGCATATCGGTTTGTCCATTGCTCCGATTATATGTCCCATGTGGTTTGAGCATTTGCTTGACCAATGCAAGCTTTGGACGTGCAAGTCTCAAGTGTCCACTGCATGGCGGCTACGGTGCCAAAGACGGTGCCAGTTCGGAGATCCAGACGTTTATCCAAACATGCGCACAGCCAGTCTGAACTTGTGATGTAAGCATAAAACCAGCCAAGGATCCCTGTATGGGAACCGTGGTTCTTCGCACAAGGAGATTTTACCAAACCATGTCATGTCAGGAAGCCAGGAATTGGCAATTGCAATGGCATGACTTGTTGTCCAGATCTTCATTGACCTTTTGACCCACTAATTGCCATTTCTAATAAATCACCTGTTAAATAATTATGCGTTCTGGCCACAATCCATCAAGTCACATCGCCCGCTTTAACTTTAATTGACCCAATACTAAACAAATACTAAACTTGTGACAGCCCTGAAAAGAGGGGGTCCATTAATTAAGGACTTTCAGCCCAGAGTCAGCAAATCGGATTCTCAAGCGCGCCACTTTTCAGCATTCAGGCTTGTGAAAGAACAAGTGGAGCTATGGTCAAGACACCCCGCTGTTTGGCGCTACTGGTTGGTCATGGACCCCTTAGTTTAGGGTCCCTAGAGAGCCATGACCATGACCCACAGAAGGACCACGCCGAAAATCATACCTTTGCAGGTGCGGCAAAAGCTTTGTTTGGGATCTGGTCTCTTGCGCGTGCTCTCTTGTGCCCCAAGGCTGTCAAGACATCCGTTTTGATCGTCGAGCCTGAGCTTCTCACAGAAGCGTTTAAATGATCGTCTGAACGCACAAACGGAAGTTGTGAGCGGCGCACTGGAGCGGTGCACCAGAGCGACAATGCTGTTATTTCGGTGTGCGTGGGTGCAGTCGCGAGCAGCTCTAGAGCCGTCCAGGTATAGCATGTCCCCGTTCCCACCGGTGAATCAGTTTCTGCCCAATGCAAGTTGTTGTGCGCTGGGGCATCATGTCTTGACGTGTGACCCAAAGCCACACCTTGGTCAAATTTCGACCTGACACAGGGAGGTTGCGAACTCAGCGATACAGATGTTTCTTTCAAGAACCTGATTTCTTGATTGGCGAATTAGACATCACCAGATTCGTCCATCGCTGTTGGCAGGAACGGGTTCAGCAGCTGGAGCAGTACATCAAGGCGTCGCAGGGAAGAAACAAGGAAGGCAACCTCACCAGGGCTAAAGAACCGAAGACCTTTCACATTGGTGGACGGTTTCCTGGTTGCGCATGGGTTGAGAAGTTCGCCAAAGATAAGATACATGGATGGCCAGGAATGGCAGCATGGCAGCATGACTTTCCGCCATGCAGAATTGCCATTGATCACAATCGGCATGGCGCCCCTTGCTGGCATAGACATTGTTTCAATAGCATCAAGTTTTTGTTGTTGATCGGGCCTATTGGTTTGCCGGTCCGGGGAGCAAACAACCTACGCAAATCGGATGAGTTAGGACAGCGCAGTTTCCCAGCCTGCTAATGGGGTTCATTTGGAATGCACCTCCTAGCTGGTAGCCGAAGGATTCCACATTGGGGATTTGATGTGTCGGGGGACGCTTGGTTGGCTGTTTGGAGCTTTGCTGCTTGGACAGCCGGCTGAGTTTTCAACCGACAAGATGTGGCTGTCCGCTCCGGGAAGGATGTTCTTGGGTGAGCCTTGCTGCATGAAGGCCCACATGTTGTGCCTCGTTTCTTTTTGGAATAGACCCGCTGGATTAACGCGACATTGTGCTGTTGGCGGAAGTTTGCCGTGTTCTGCAAGCTGCAATGTGTGTCTTTCACATTCAGCCTGCAAACCCTGATTTATGTAGGCTCGTTCACTTTTTTGCCGCATACCTGGCAGGCTGGACCCGTTTCTTCTCGCCGCGAGCATGAGCTAAAGAAATGCACGGAGTCAGTTGGAAGTTGGGATTCGGATGTGCGCTGGGGGTACGGGATTTTGACCCATGGCCCAAAAAACAAGCCCTGTCTTGATGGTGTCAATTGTCCAGGCCCCGAGCACCAATATTTTCAGAGGCAGCTTTCCGCCCCTCGAAGCAGTTTGAGGAGGTCACTTTCTTTTGCTAGCTCGCAACGAGGGTCCCAAGTAAGCTTCCTGAAAGTTCCAAGTCATGAACTTATTTCGCCCACATCACTTGGGCTGGCAGGGTAGCAACCTTGACAGGCCCAAGAAAGAGAAACCACGGCTTCGGCTTGGATTTCAAGCTTGCAAAGCCGTGCATAAACCAATCTGAAGTCCACGCGCCAGGCTAAGGGGAGCCGGGGTCGTTTCCCTTTTTCTTGGGACCGCCATGGTGTGGGTCAAAATAAACCCACCTGGGGACCACAGGTTTTAGTCTTTGGTTCCATTAATCAGGGCAACCCATTTTGGGGTTGCCGCATTTTTGACCCAGAGCCAACTCTCCTTAGCCCACAGCCAACTCTCCTATCGCCTTCCAACATCAATGACCTTCTGTCGTGGATTTCAAAGGCTGGCGACACCCTGGGTGCGTTGCGCCCGGCCTTGGTGGCGATGCAGTCGGAGCTGCAGCAAGCGGCCAAAGAGCTCTCCGCCCTGCGCCCCTCGGAACGTCCTGATGTCTCTTGCCTGCTTGCCTCACTGCCTTCTTTTGCCTGCTGTCCTGCTTGCTTGTGGGCTTGCATGTTTGCTTGCTTGGGGGGGTTGCTATGCTTATGCAAGATGTAAACGGGACCCGGGACCTTGTTCAGGCTTTTTGTGTCTAGGCACCCATTTTGACAGCCTCATGCCAGCAGGAGTCCAGGGTCTTCCTATGGGGCCTTTCGCTGTGTCAGTGGTGTGGACCTAAACACTCCCAGCTTCTGGTTGCATCTTTGCTCGCCCGCACCCAAGCCTCCGGAGGCCTGCACCACCAGCAGAAGCTGTGCATTTGGGAGGAAGGCGCCAGACGTCTCCTGAAGACGGCGGAGGACTTCGGGCCCAAAGTGGCGGACGCGGAAGGCGACGCCAAGGCACCTTGGAAGAGACGAATGAAAGTTGAAGCCAGTGCTAGAAACGAATCACCAATTGTGGAAGGAGATGATTGTGTGAACGATCGAGCCAGAGTGGTTGTGAGGTTGCCCCTTGCTACAACGCGATGCAGCGTTGTCAAATGCGGTGAAGCAGTGGGCGAGCCTGACTGGCCCAAGCGCAATTGTTCTTGGTATGGATGCTGAGGTTGCCGTGAACTGATCAGTGCCACGGTGTGTCGGTGTGCGTGTGTGTGTCTGTGCGTGTGTGGGTGGGTGTGCGTGTGTGGGTGGGTTTGTGCTTGTGCGCGTGTCTGCGTGTCTGCGTGCCTGTGCCGAGTCAGCGTCATGCGCCGAGTCTGCATCGAAGGCGAAGACGCCTTCTCCAAATGGGCGCGCCGAGGTCGAGTCTCAGTCTCTCCAAGGCATGCGGCTCGGCTGATGTCACTGGAGAGAGAAGTTGCAAAGAACAACTTGGGGGGTCAGAGTTGGGCCGGAGAAAAAGTAGTCGCTCGGGAGGCATTGCTTACTGGTGTAGAGCTGTTTTAGTATTTGTTTCAGATGGCCCAGTGCTGCTTAGAATTTGTGTAGTATTGGTTTAGTATTCCTTTGTACTGATTCAGTAAGCTCTAGAATTGGTTTAGTATTTGTTTAGTATTCCTCGGTTCTGGCCCAGTGATGAGTTTTCTCTATTACTTCCCGTTAATTGTTTATCATTATTAACTTTTCGGGTCTTCCCTGTACCACCCCAAAGAATGCATGTTTGGACGGCTGTCTTAGTAGAGGGACCTCAGTTGGTTTGGCTCGCTCAGGATTGGCTCAGTATTGGTTTAGTATTAGTTGCAATGGCCCAGATATTTTTTTGCGGTTTTCTATTGCCTCTCTTTAGGCATTCATTATTATTAACTCTCCAGGGCTTCCTCAAAAATATGTTTGGGTGGCTGTTTTTGCAAAGGGAGGCATGAATAATTTGGCCGGTTTGTGGTTTCAGTTGCTTTTGCTGGCTCAGGATTGGCTTGGTATTGGTTTAGTGTTAGTTTAGTATTGCCAGGGCTTGGGACCACGTTTTTTTCTTCACAGGCAGCCACTTTTTGAAACTCGACAAACTTTCCTGTTGTTGCTTCCCCATTATGCGGAATAGTTTTGGGACAACTTATCCAACTTGCCTCACAACCAGCTGTGCGATTCGCCTTTTCGTGTGCGTGCACGCGTGTGCTCGTTCCTGCGTCAAATTTTGGCTTTCTGTTGGTGAATAACAACTAAAAACAGGGCCAGGAGATTTTGGGATTGTGTGAAAACCCTACCCAATACAAACCTTCCACATCTGCAGTGTGACCTTGATTTACGGAAAATGCAAGGGCCTTGTGCTTTAGCCAAGACGAACTGAGGCCAAAGGATGTCTTGAAGGACCAAAGAGAGGACGATGAGTGCAACGAGGAGATTCCATGCTCATTGCACCCCCCTTCCACTCCAAAACAAAGGTCAAAGCCTGAAACCGCCTGAAACCCGAAGAGCTTTGGGATCCCCACCCCCTTCAAAATGAAATTAGGGGAGGGGGGTGACCCCTGGGATTCCATTTTGGGTTCCATTTTCCCTTTTGTGAGGAAGACTGAATAAATGGAATTGTGGGACCCCCCCACCCCCCTCCCCCTTAAGGTAGGGGGGATGCTTTGGGTTTGTTTGCTTGGGGCTTTAACAGGTGGCCAGCATCCCCAGAGTCAGCCAACCTTGCCTTGCGCTCGGCTTAAAGGTATAGCAGCACCGTCGGCGGATTGATTCTTGCAAACCATTGTGCTTCGACCTCTGGCATTTGTCCTATGTGCCAGCAGGCAAATGATCAGCCACTCCGTTCTATAGGGTCCATGGGATCGCCAATGTGCCACCATTGGTCTCTGCACACCATCCTTTTCCCACTTATGAAAGCCGACGACTTGGCCATCTTGGAAGTCGCTCCGCTTGCAACCGGCTCCGGTCAGATTTCTTGCTTCTTGGGGCCCAGCTTTGGCGAGGTCGCGAAAACGGGTCAACTCCCAACAGAATTCAATCCCGTGTTCCACCCTTCGCGCCTGAAACACGTCAAGTTCGCCGTAGGGCCCGGACGGCGATGTGAAAAGCGCTGGCCAGGTTCGTCCTGAGGTGGGGACGGGGGCCCGGTCCTTCCCATGGTCCTCGCCCAAACTCCCTGTTGGCCGTTGGCGGTTCTACCCTCTCTCCAGTCATGGACGATGACAGGTAATGTTGGGAAGACTACCTTCCTTTTTGCGGAAGCGTGGAAGCCCACTGTCCACTTGATGATTGGAAAGAGGGTGCTGCCTGGTTTCAGAGGGTTTTCTTGTAAGGCCTACGAAAACCTTTAAAACCATTTCGGCAGAACCAGAAATTAATGGGTGAAACAGGCGCTCAATTGAAAATCTCCTCTGAACAATCTTGCTTAACACCACCAAAGCCGGGTACAATCTCAGACGGAGCTTCTTGGTTGGGATGGCTGCTTTTGAACTTACGTGTTGCTTGCCGGCCTTTTTGTGTTGGAAGATTGGAGGAAGGACACCAGCAATATGTTTCCTCACCAAGCAAGAAGCCCAAAGCTTGTTAGTTTCTTCTGGAAGCCCTTATAGAGGGCGCACAGCAGGTTTCAGAGCCTGCGGTCAACTAAACGGAGCACCACAGCCAGTACACTCAGAGGTGAGGTGCTGGGTTGACACATTGCAAATTGTGGAGTTTCCCGGACAACTTTTTGCTGAGACACGCCCCCTTCAGTGTTGCAAGTCGCCTGGAAGTATCATCCAAGTCCACAGCCTACTGCCATCTTGGCTGCTCCTTTGGTTACGGTTATACACTGGTCAGGCGCCCTTTATTCTCGAGGTGGATAGGGCAAACGCATAACTCCCCAGAGATTCTCCTGGTTTGGGAAACGGAAATCCTTTGAGTGAAAGCGCTCATTGTCTCATGGTGGTCGTGTACTATTTATCCTTTGATTGCTTTCGCTCGGGTTTGGATGTTTTCCCTTGATTCTTGTGGAAGTGACATCCTCGTACTGCAAATGGCGAGGTACTTACTTGCACATTATTATCCTATGATCATATCTAAGCATATCTGGACTTCCTTTCAAACTCTTTCTCGCAATCTAATCCGATGCGCCCCTCCCCCCGCCCCGACCCCCAACACCCCAACACCCCAACCCCCCCCCCCCTCCCCCACCCCCCCAACTGCGAGCGAGGCCCAGTTTGCGGCCAGCTGCGCGGAAGAGCTGCGGCTGCTGCTGGGCGCCAGCCGGCAGCTGCAGTCTCCGCCCAAGGTGCAGCTGCCCTTGGCCAAGGCGCTGGCAGGCGCCTGGGAGGTGGAGGGGTTCGTGGGGTGGGGGGGGTGGGTGGGTGGGGGGGGTGGTGGGAAACTTGTCTTGTTCAGATTTTGGGGGAGAATTGTCAGACATGTGCTTTCTGTATGCTCCGGCCAAGTCTTTGAAAATGGGGCGCAGTCTTTTAAACTGGCGTATCCCAGCTGGTTTAGAAGAGAAATCCCAAGGAACACCTCCCATGCTGGTCCCAATCTTTGACTTTCACGATCAATAAATTTTGACCCCGGACAAAAAAGGTCTTGGACTCATGGCAGGATGTGTCCTAAGAAAGTAAAGCATTCCCTCCAAAAAGTGACAAGCTTGTCAGCTAGGGCTAGGGGTTTTTCAATCCCGTGCTTCTTTGTCATGGGTTTTCGTATCACCTGCCACTTGCAGGATTGTGTGCATCGCGAGTGGTTTTGATGTGGGAGCAAGCAGACGGGGCGGAGAGTACCGGGGGGGGGAGGTTGGTGCCGATGATGGCATTCTCAGGTCCCAGGTGGCCATATGTTGAGATCCAGCGTGCAGTTGGATTGCATGAAGTCACCTCGATACCTCAGAAATTCCCAAACTGGACACTGTTTTAATCGCGGTTGCTTGTGGAAGTCAGGCCGCCGTTGGTCAGTTGGTCGCGGCAAATGCGGGCGGGGTGAGAGGGGGCGCCGGCGAACTTCCGCTGCGGCAACCGCAACGGCCTTTGCTGAGCGCTGTTTGAGTGAAGCGCTGGTTTACCCTCGCACCGACTAACGTAGAAGTGCACACACGGCCTTGTGCACTCTCAGGTTGGCGGGAGGGTACCATCCCCCAAAACAGCGCATTGCGTGTTGCGGTCCTTTGTAGCATTTCTACGGGTCTCCTGCGGCGCGAGGCTGGACGACGCCCCTCAACCAGTTTTTAAACACAGAGTCGGGAGTGCCGGCCAGGCAGAACTAAGCCTAGGTCCCCCGGTAGTGCCCTTTTATCCTTTTTGGGGAGGGTTCCCCTACTAAAATAGACTACAGAAAAAGGGTACCCTTATTCTAACCTCTCTACTGGAGGACCTAGAAGCTGTTGATTGCACCGGGGAGCTGGCTTGAATTCAATGCCGTTCGGCACCTCGGCACACAAAGGTTTCCTGGAACCGGTTCTCTCGGCTTCCGATTGCAGGGAGTCCCAATTTGAGTACCACTGGAGCCTCCTCCAAAGCTAGTATATGTTTCATTGACTCAACATGAAGCCACATCTGATCTGATTCTTGAAGTACCCCAGATGGCCAAGACGGCTTGATTGCATTCAAGTCCCATCAGTTCAGAGAAGTTGCTCCTTCCCAAGGAGCAGAGGGTGAGGAGGCCATCTATGCGACAGCCCTGGCCAGGGAGAGTGCAGCCGCTCGTCCAAAGATTCCAAAGTCAGCTTTCCACCCATAGGTGTCCTTGATTTGGTTGAAAGATCAAGGGCGATTCCTGGTTTACCTGGTGGCAACCAATCCACTACCGGGGAAACATCTTTTCAATCAAAAAGGACACCTATGCTTCCCCACTGGTTTGAGGCCGGACGGCGGGGGTACGCGGATGTGCCAACGGCACCGTCCTGGATGTTGTTTTGTTGGCTCGGAACATGTGTCAAACACAGCAAAAGCTTAGGTGGGATGTAGGTAGTGGCAGTGCAGAGTTCGCAAACATTGTAAGGTCGATGCGCATATTGCATGGTTCATCTCAGTTGAGGTATGAGTGAGGTCCCACTTTGCAACACTAGTTCTCATGAGGGCCGAAGAGCAATCACGAACGAGAGCAACCATCCAATGATTTCACCTGGAAACCATGCCGAGAGCTGACCCTTGTTGCAGGGCTTCACTTTCTTAGACTTCTGGGACGGTACTTTCTATTTTTCCCGTTGGCTTTAAAAGGGAACTTATCACTGCTGGAAAACTGGGTGTGGCTCAAAATCAACCGGTTACGAGGGTTCCATTTTACCGGATTTTTTGAGCCACGGCCATATCTTGTTTTTTTTTTTTTTTTTGCCAGGGCTTGGGCAACACCTCTGCAGGCTGCACTGCACCGGGTCCTGGAGGACCTCGCGCCGGCGCGGCGGAGCGCGGCGGAGCGCATGGCCGCGGCGGAGCGGGCGCTGCGGCAGCTAGCGCCTCGCCGGCGAAAAAACAAAGGAAACGATGGATACAGCCCCCCACACACAAATCCACACAGACACACAGACACACACACAAATTAACATGGATCCCGGAAAATAACAGCCATTTGTAGTGGAGAAATTAACATGGAACCCAGAAAACAGCCATGTGTAGTGGAGGAAATTAACATGGAACCCGGAAAACAAAAGCCATTTGTAGTGGAGAAAATTGACATGGAACCCAGACAACCCCTTTGGTGTGTGATGGTTTCAAACAAGATCTAAGGGCATTTCACATTTTTGTACCTTCTACCGTCAGGGAAGAAAGGGTAATGAGGGGCAACCATTGCATGAACGTTATATTGCTTGCCCCATGTAGCCCTAGCCCTGGAGTGCCTTGGAGGTAGTGGAAATTCTACCGGAGTCCCTTGCTTTGGCACCGCTAGCCTGCCAGTAGATTGCAACTCTTGAAGGAGCTATCCAACGACCCCTGATATTAACACAAATACGTTTGTATTTTACCTACACGCACGCACACATCGCTGGCCAAGCCAATTGTTCGAAACTGTTGCATTTACCCCGCTTGGGGTGGTCCAGGGGACGGGCTCGGAACTCGCGGTTTTGTTTTATTTCCGCGGGTTTGCTTTCATGAGTTTCCGAGGCCCTGCCCTTCGCATTATGTTTCTACTTGTCCTTTGGCGGCTGCTCAAAAGGTCAACATAGACCCCGCGAGGTGAAGGAACGAAGGGGTTCGACCCGATCTTGACCTTCGCAGGAAGGGGTCCACCGGTGTAGCAACTTCCAGGTCATCCTGATTTGGTGACTGGAGTGGTTAGCCCCCTCCAAAGCACCAATTTCCCTGCGAATCAAACCCGTCAAACCCCAAAGCGACAAACTACCAATCAATGTCTTTTTTGGGGGTCCTCAAAATGGGGCCGTTTCCTGGTGTTTTCCGCCAAACTGGAAAAACCGAGAACTCCGTGTTGGGGGTCCGAGTCCAAACAGACAGCCACATGTCGACTGTCGAGGACCGGGAGCTGCGGCTCCAGTGCCAGGCCCTCTGGGGTGAAGCCGAGCTCGACGACTCGGAGCTGCCCGGGAGACGCGGCGGAGGGGAGGGCGGGGGGTTGGGAGACCCTGAAGGTGGTTGCGCAATGGTTATATTGCGCAAGGCAGCGCAATCAATTGCAGGGCGGAGAAAGCATGCCGCAGTGCCAAGAGATGCATGTTTTATTATCCGGAAGGGGGGCAGGGTCCGAGTTCAAACCCTACCTAAACCTCTGAATCCACGCCTTTGCCGCTGGCTTTGCGTGACAAACTAGAAAAAAGCTGCTCAAACAAGCGCGGCTGTTTACTTGCAATTTGCATTTTTGAGGCTTGGCGTGCGTGCATGTTTAGAGGCGGCCTGTATACACGCACACGGGATATCATTACATGCTTGCAGGGCGGGCGAAAGCTGCAAACGGACGTCGCTTTGTTCATCTCAAGCGGTAGGGTTGCGAGCCATTTGCTTCAGCTGCTTAGCAAGTGCTGGCTGGCTTGCCAGTTAGATTGATCCAGTTTGTCAGCCTGCTGTTTCGGATGCGTTACATTACATCTAGGTACCTAGTTTGTTGCTTAGCTGCTTGGTTTAGTCCGGTAGGCAGTTAGGTAGTTACTCGTATCTAAGTAGTTGGTTGGTTAGTTGGCCAGTTGGTTGGGTAGTTGATTGGTTAGACAATGTGGTAGTTGACAAGCTGGTTAGCTTGTCAACTATTCGGCTATTTTCTTAGTCAAGTTCAACCGCCAATTAGGCAGATAGCTTGTTTTCTTTGCTTGCATTCTCTCAACCCAATTTTGCGTCACAGGGCTTCTTAGAACTCACAGGCCACAAGCGATGGGTGTTGAAACCGTGGGTTTTGTCGAATGGCTTCCCCAGGCTTCGATTAAATTGCGGCCCCCCGAAGCAGGAGACACACTCATGTGGCTGTGGTCAAAACCGTTTTGGGATCCCATTTTGGTGGGTAGGTGAATTCACCACCCATTTTAGAACCTATTTTGGTGGTTGGACTGGGATGTTCACTGGGGGGTAACCGGGGTTTTGACCCATGGCCATATACTAATATGTGACGCGGGCCAAGCAAAGATCCCTTTCAAACTTGCTAGGCCCTAGTCGACACAATTCCTAAATTGGGTCCAATTTGGGTGGAGTGGGGGGGGGGACAGCGCTGGCTTGTCACTCCTTGCAAATGGATTGGCGTCTCAGAAGGTTTCCTCTCAGTTTACTTAGCCAAAAGGGCCAAGGTTTGCGTTGGGACCATGGCCAACCAACCGGCTCCACAGAAAAGGCACAAAAAAAAGCCCGCAGGAGACAAAGAAACACGTTGATGGCCCCTACCCCCAATGGATGGATGGGTCGCGGATATTATGATTAGTCAACTATTCCAACCCACTGATTCTTGTCTGACGCTTTGGAATTCCCAAGTGGGCAACAATATGCGCTCTCCTTTCGCATTCAACACCCATGCCTAGGAAGATTGTGCACGCTCAAGCCAGGAAAAAGGCACGTGCCTTTCTGGAAAACAACAAATCAATCCACCAATTCGGGGGAAGCTGATTTCTTTTTGGGGGGAACACACATAGAAAGCGGGGTTCGAACCCACGGCACCGCTCATTTCTCAGGAAGCTGCCGCTGGACGAGGAAACGCAGCGGAGGTGTCTGCGCAATGTGCGCCAGGCGCAGCAAAGCTCCAGCCAGGTGCGGGGCCCAGGACACCGGTCCGAGCGTCAACCGGCCATGGGAAGTCTTGTGATTTGTTTCCATGCGCAGGATTTGTTGAATACGAATCTCAGGGCGAAAGCTGAGGTAGAATCATGTAGAATCCATGTGAGAAGGGCGCGCCGGTGTTTTCCCCGTCCGAGGTGTGGGGACAGAGACGTTGCATCCCAAGTCAAGTTGTGACCTTCAAGCCGATTCAAGCCTCGGCAGATCAGGGTATTCAGGATCAGGGATCATGTGCGGGTGCGATTAGTAAAGGCTCCCCCCATTGGATCAGGAGGGCAACTACTACAATCCAATTGGTGATCAGAGTTGGGCCTACTATGCCTACTCAAGTAGTCTCTCAGTAAGTGCTGCTTAGATCTGCTTAGTACTGGTTTAGAATGGCCTTAGTAGTCCTTTAAGATGGTTTAGTATTTTAGATTATTTTAGTGCTCTTTTGTACTTTGGAATGGTTCAGTATTTGGAATTGGTAGTATTGCTTGGTATTCCTCGGTACTGGCCTTCAGACTTTTCTCTATGTCCTCTCCTTGAATGCTTGTTATCAGCTTTTCGGGTCTTCCCTTGTACCACCCCCTTGCAGATTTAGCAAAGGCTGTCATACAGAATTTGGCTGTTTGGGGCTGGCTCAGGATTGACTTGGTATTGGTGCAGTATCAGTTGGTACTGGTTTAGTCCTGCTTAGTATTAGCTTAGTATTGGTTTAGTACTAGCTTAGTATTCAGTATTGCTTCAGTATTCAGTATTCTTCTGCAATGACCCTCGGAATTTGACTTTCTCTATATCCTCCCCTGAAACATGTTTGATTATAATTGTTTCGGGGCTTTCCTGTACCCCTAGATGTTTGGGCGGCTCTTTTCGCAAAGGATATCATTAAACAAGTTTGCTGTTTGGGCCCTCGGTTGCTTTTGTTGGCTCAGGGTTGACTTTAGTATTGGTTTAGTATTAGTTAGAATTGGTTTGGTATTGACAAGTATCAGTTTCGCATTGCCAGGGATTTGGATCTTTTGTTCTTCTCACCCCCGGACGGGCAGCCATATTTTTTCCACCGAGAACTTGTTTTTCTTCCCTGCCTCACTGTCTTGTCAGGGTGGGGAATGATTTTGGGAAAGCTCTTCTGCATTGCCGCCCGATTTGCGAATCGCTACCCAACATTAGGCTGAAACCGTTTGATCGACTTTCTTGAGCAGCCCGTTCCACAAGTATCAGACAAAGACGCCTTTTTGTCGATCAAGACAGCCACCACAGGGTTAGGAAAGCCCGCTTTTGATCTGACTTTCAGATGGTTCTGAACTGTGAGCATTGGAACGGTTGATCTCGATTTAAGCATTACCCCGGGACCTTTAGGATGTGATTTGCCTCCCGGGAACCATCACACCGGTCGAAGGGCACAAGATTCAGATTCCAAGTTATGCTCCCATGTTTGACCTGTCTGAATGTTCAGCAGGCCTTCTTACGTGTCCAATCCTTGTGTGCCCTTTGGGGAACATTGTTTTCTGGGATGTTACCATTTTTAACCTTCCCCTTTGGGGGACATTGTTGTCTGGGGTATAGGATTATTGCTTTCAACCGGTTGACTTGGCGTGGTCGTTCGCTTTTGCCATACCCCCAGTATGCATTGCTGCGTGCTGCATGTTTGAGCAAAGCATCACACCCTGCATCACATGTGTCCATACGACCCCGCTTCTCATTGAACATGCCGGTGCTCTACCAACTTAGCCCCAAAATCGTTTGCTTAGGTTCTGTGAGGGACTTGACGATTTTTGAGCCACGTCTCAGGTCTTGGCGGAGTTTGTGCTGCTTCCACAGAAGCTGAAGCTGCTGTTTGACCTCACCAAGCGCCTGAGTGCGGAGCTTGAAGCCAGATCTGTGTGAGTCGATACAGTTTTATTGGGCTGCCTCCAGACCGACGCAAGGTCATTCACACATTTTCTTGGTGCTGGTGTCAAGGGAGAGCTCGCATCCCATTTCTGGGTTCCTCAATGTTGGCAAGACTTGGTCTGAGACAGCCGATTTGCAGATGGCTGGAGTTAGGGCAAGTCTCATGACCGTGCTTTATATTTGGCATGGCTCACTTAAAGTCCTGACGTACATACCAGCCAGCAAGCATAGGGTCAAACCTCCATGTTGCAGTCACCGGCTCTTCTTTGTTTTAGGCTGTTTGTGTACCAATCTGATTCTGGAGAAGGACCTGAGGAGGTCCTTTTCTCCAACCCTATGCCTGCCAATCTTCGTTGCGAGCAACCAGTCCAACAGTTTTGGAACCAGGACTCGCTGAGTTTCACTCACCATACTCTTGGCCGTCGACGGATTCTTGCGTGCGGTTTGTCACCCATCGCGCATCTCAACTCCTGAGAGTACGCCGGAAGCATAAAAAGGGGCTGAGTTCTACAGAAAAAGCAAGGGGACACCGCCCTTTTCGTAGGTTCCCCTGTCCCGCGAAAAATATTAGCAGTCCGGGGGGGGGACGCGGGCAGGCAAATTCTGCTGGACTAGGTCTGGCGCATTCTTTTTGGCGCCTTTTCTTTTCAAGGGAAGTGTTTGACACAGATGGTTTGTGTCTTTCTGGAGGGTGCAGGACACAACGCTCCCAGAATCTGCGACTAATTCTGAGAACGGTGTTGGGTCATCATGGCAACGAGACCGGGCCAATGAACCAGCTGGTTCCAAGAACCCCTTCCACGAGGGTTCTAACAAACCCCAAAGGTTCTAAGAAACCTTCGACGGGTTTGGGGGGGCCTTTCGTTCCTCCCTAGAGCTATACTGCATAGCAATGTGAGCTCTGTTTTCATGTGCGAGCTGTTCCCTGATGGGATGCTTTGCGCGACATGGCAAGGGCTCGACCTGGCCCGTGTTGTTTGGCAAATGACCCCTGCCTCTTGAGACTGATTACATTTGGTCACCTTGTGCTTCTCAACTTCTATCCTGAGCTTGACAACCAAACGAGGCCGGCCAAGGGTTGACCCGGAAGCAAGCTTCTGACTCTGGCCCCCTCCACAGCCTGCCCGGGGAATTGGGGATGCCAGGAAGCCAAATCGCATCTCCGGCAGTGTGAAGGAAGGCATGCGCATCTATTGGTCCGCGGGAGCCCTCGGCAGGTGGTTTTTGGGGATTTATTGGCGGAAGGACATCTGGGTTTTGCGCAGCGTGAAATGAAAGCTTGATGCGTCAACGAGCTGTTTCGCATCTCCTGTAATACTGTAAGGGCTTGGGCATGTTTAAAAGGGGTCGTCCCGAACACACTTTGTAGCAGAAGCCAGGATGAATCTTTGGACATACCCTACATGTAAAGGTCATTGAACATGAGCAAGACTCAAACATTCTTCAGTTTTGGGGGACAAACCTTGAAGAAAGGATCCAGAGCCAGATAGTCTTCAATCACATTGTTCCCCTTCTCAGGGGAACTGCCTGAAAGGATTAGGTCATCGAATCATTCAGTCATTCAGTCATTCAGTCATTCAGAGGCTCAGAGGTCACTGGCCAAGCAGGCTCTGGCCCCACAACATCCCAACGTTCCCATGGCTTTGGGCTCCCCCGCTGCGGAACCACCACCCCTCAAACCAACCGTCCCCACGTGGTTTGTTGTGTAACTGGGAATGGGGCATCGCCAGATCTCTTCGCCCAGTTTCAGCGGCTGCTACGGTGGCGCTGCCACCGTTTCAAAACCTAAATGCAGCCCCCCCGCCCGCCCAGCCCAGGGGATTCGCGGCCACCAGCCTAGCAAACACCTATGGCCAAGGTGCCAGACACCTATGGCGAGGGTCCCGTGACGCGCTACGATGTGCGGCTTTCGCAGCATGCAGCAAGCCCAGGGCGGGCCTTGAGATTTTGTCCATCCCTTTAATTCTTCCCGACAGGGTTGCTCCGAGCCTTCAAGCAAAATGAAAAACGTGGGTAAACATTTGGTTTGGCAGTCGTGTTGTTGTCCTTGTCCAGGGGCCAATTTCTACCGCTCCTCTGCAGGGAGTTGTTGTCAAAGGCAGTTTAGAGGGAGTTTCCGTGTTACGGACACCATTTCACGAAAGCTAGCCTTAGCTAGCTGAAGTTTCTCCTTGCGTAAGCAAGGTAAGGGGCTCAAATGCCGAAAGATTGATTTTTTCAATTATTTGAGCCGAAAAGATTGAAACATATCAATTATTTAGACCCCCCCCCCCCCCCGTCTCAGGCTCGATTCCTCCCTGGTCCATCCCCAGGCAGTGGCTCAGTGTTCAGCAGTCTCGGTTTGCCCCGTTTTGGACTTGGTGCTACGAACTTTTACATGTTCCATTGATTTAGTTTGTTTATTTGAGATCTCAGTCTTCTCGGTAAACCACCTCGCAAGAATCTTTGCACACGCAGCATGCAGAACCCAGAGGTGCTTTCAGACAGCTTCTGACGCCTCTCGTTGTTTTCATTTTCCAAGGTTTGCCACGCCATCATGTGCGTTTGCGTGTCGCATCCTACGAATCTTGCCGGGCCTCTCGTTGTACACAAGCTACCTATGAATCCACTCTGTCACCGACCCATCTCATTCAACAACTGCTAGCTTTCGTTCACCCGCTCCTCAAGTAGGTAGTCTTGCCGCAGAGATAAATCGCGAAAAAGAGTGTCCGGCGGGCTGAAAGCTGGCCCGGAACGGTACCTCTCGGAACATGTGCGGACCCGGGGCCCATTGGCACTGAGGCGTGCGCTTTGCGCGACGTCAGGCTTGCGTGACAGGCGCAGCACTTTGACAAACTGAGGTGCAGTTGCGTGGCAGGCGCGGCACCTCGTTGGATTGTTGATCAGGCCGCGTGGCAGGAGCAACGCGTTGGCAGCCTTAGTGTAGAAACCATGGCGGGCGTGGCGCTTTCGCAGACTCGCACGCAGACTGCGCGACAGTCGCAACTTTTGGCATCGCTGGCACGGACGTGTTGCAAGTCCGATTGGCACGCACGTGCAAGCTGGAGGCAAGCTGGCGCAGCACTTTTGCAAGGTGAAGTGCAAAGTTCGGTTTGGCGCGGCGCACATGTGGTGGCAGTCTCGGCCTTTTCGCCAGCTCAAGTGCAGATTTCGTGGCTGGCGCAGCGCTTTCCCAAGGTCAAGCGCGGATTTCATGCCAAGCGCATCACTTTCTCGAGGTCAAGTGCAGCTTTTGCGCAAATGCAGCGCTTTTTGTACGTACACATTTCGTGTGGCGGGAGCGCAAGGGGCAGCACTTTCGGATTTCACGACAAGCTTACAGCACTCTCGGGGCACTGATGCGTGGATCTGCTGAGAGATAGACAGATAGATAGATAAGTAGTCTCTCTCTGCCGATAGCTTGATCGATCTATCCACCAATCCTACATTGATACGGTATCTCCCATCCATTTGACTATTTGCATATGTACCTATCAATCTATGCATCCATGTACCTCTCTATCCTCAAGCCTAGCTTCCAAACTTCTCACTTATTGATATCCCGAGATCTATCTACCGTTTATCGATCTATCGTCTACCTAACCATTTCGGGATCTACCTAACTCTCAATCCATGTTCCTTTCTGTCTAACTATGAGAAACACTTCTACCCACCCATCCATCTATCTGTCTTCCTTTTTCCAGCTACCAACCCATGTATGCTGTCTGCCCATCAACTACATTGATAGCTGCCTATTCGTCTATCTATCTATCCGCCCATAACTTATTCTATCTATCCATGCATCAATATATGTTTTGTTTTACGGATGAAGCGCACGGAGAGAGGGCCAGAAAACTAGATACCCATAGCTAAACAGCTAGGCTGCTAGATAATCGTGATGGATAGACAGAACCATGAATCGACAACTCTATACAGATATATATAGGAATATGGGATATAGATATGCTGGACAGATGGAAAGGTAGATAGACTAGGGTGGATTAGATTGGACCAGCTTAGCAAGATAGGTAGTTAGAACGAGAGAGAGAGATTTATTTAAAAAAAAACTGAGAAAGGCGCAGTTGCATTCTACACGCAGCATTTTCTCGGCAGACAGGCCTTCGGGCAAGCGCCAAGAGAAAGAGAGAGAGAGTAAGAGAGAGGGAGAGAGACAGAGAGAGAGAGAGAGACAGAGAAGTAGAGAAAAGGACAGAGAAGAGCATGAGAAAGGCAAAGGGAAAGAAGAGAAATGGAAAGAGAGAAGAGCAAGAGACGGACAAAGAGACAGCGAAAAAGAGAGGGAGAGAAAAAGCACGAGAAGCAGGGAGCAAGGGACAGGGAGACGACGGTGGGACTTCTCGCCGTAAGACGGCGGGCATTCTGTTGGAGCTGTTTTGGTGCAGCTTGCTTTGCGACGCGCAGGCAGTTTGAAGTGCTTCGTGTTTGTGCTGGGAAGGCAAGATATGGGAAACCGACGGCTCCTGCATCTTTACATTGTGATGGCTTTAGCCTATGGCCTAGGGTTTTGGCATGACAGACAATTGTGCCTTAGTAGTTTTTTTTGGATACGTCGTTGTTTTCTGTTCAGACATATCCCTGAAACGAATGCGGACGCTACCCCTAGACTTGGGAAAGCCCCGTCGTCCTTTGATTAACATGCGTACTGGCGCTGGCTGCATGGAGGATGAGAGGCGACCTGGCAAGTCCTCAATTCATGCCCCGAGTGGGACTGGCAAATATGCAGATGGCAGCGGTTGCGGTTGCAACAAGGGCAAGTCGCCCCGCGCGGTCGGCTCATACAATTGCATGGAGGGGGAACGAGGGGGAACCTACAGGTGTGTTTGCGAGTCTGAAGCTTGGCTGCGGCCTTCTCAATTGACCGCCCTCATCCGTTGCCAAGTTGTTCAATTCCGTCAGAATTCGGTGCTTGTGCATCCATTAAGGCCATGATGAAAGACCACCGCCTGGAGGAAAGCATCAAGCCGAACCCTGAGAGGCGTTTTGCGCGGGACTCGCGGCAAACTGCCTTCACATCAGCTCATCTCTGAAGATTGTGGGCTTGAAGACACCCTATTCATACCGAGTTTGGCTTGACATGCCAGCCTTGTTGCACTGCCGGCTTGCCTTTGGCTCCATCGATTCAGATGACTTAGCGAGCCACATGGCTCCCATGCGACATGTGTTTCATAGTCCTAGCAGGTGCCGTGGGCAAAATGAACCTCAGCTTGCGTGGCGAGAGGTTAGGGCAGTCACTTTGTGCACTTTGCTAAAGCCTGTCATTTCAGCGCAACCCCGGCTGCAAGCCAATCGCCACTCGCTGCACGCACGGCATGAGATGAGAGCAGTCGAGCCCGGCGCCGTCTTGGAGGTGCGGAGCTCATTCCGCAGATGGCATTTTGGCCTCTGGGGAGGTTGCAAGGAACCCACTGTGGCCTTAGGTTTCTCAAGATCATCCTTAATCCTTATGCCACATGATAGTGGCTTCCCTTGGTGTGCAGCTACGGATGACAGATTACGATTCGAGCTTATCCCCCGCATCTTGAACATAGCTGAAACTGCGCCCGCAATTTGAAGGGACTCGGCACAAGAATCAGCCGCAAGCCGCCAGGTGAATGTGAAGCGCATCGATGGCAGCTCCAGCTCTATGGAGGTCAGGCCCGAGATGACGCTTTGATTCGCAGGGCCGCATTTTGTGTGCGTGTTTTTGGGTTCCCTTTTAAGCTTGGAACCTTTTTCAGCTTGGATTGAAGGAAGGCATCAAGGACAGCCAACATTTGGGGAGCAGAACTTGGATGACGGACCGCTCAAGTCCAACATGTTGAGCAATTACCTTTACAGGAAATGTGTCTGTCAGAACCCATACAACCCCCAGTCGTTGCATGGCAACCCCGGTGGGAGGGCTTTGATTTTCTTGTGTTTTTTTTCCTACATTGCGCGCTGGGTCTCTCAGAAGCGACCTTGTGTGTGCGGTCAGTCAATAACCCCCCCCAAGACTTTGGTGTGGCGATCGTCTTCTTATTTGTTCCAGATCCCGGATTGAGCACCCACTACATTTATGAATATATATATATATACATTAACATAAAATATATATATATATATATAGATTAATACACCAATATATATATATATATACGTATATATATATATATGCACATATTGAGGCCTTGGAGAGGGACACCCCTCGAGCCAACATCACGGCCAGTGCTTCCCCAGTTTTGCACCAGTAACCTCCACCCTCTGCGGATTTCCCATGTGTTCTGCGAGCTACTTCCAACCGAAAGCTCACCATTTGGAACTTGGAGCGGACAGATGTCCCAAGGCGATCCCCAGCCTAGGACGGGCCTTCAATTCAAGGAGCTGATCGCGCAAAAGCTGGGCATTTCCACCGACCAGCGCTTGATTTGCCGCGGCCGGCCCATCAAGGACAGAAAGTAGACAGGCCAAGGAGGTTGTTTAAGCAATAGTGTTGTGAGTATGCTTAAATAGTTGGTTGACGCCTCCTCAATAAGCTCGCTTGCTTACCACTCATTTGTGCGATCTGTTTGCTTGGTGTTTGTGCACCACAGTTCCCTGGGTCGAATTTATATAGATGTGCCATTGCTACAGGTTGAAATCTCCATGCCTTCTCTTATTGCAAGTCCTGTGACACTGATTCATCTTTCAAGCTTATCATTTGTGGAGCCTGCCCTCCCTTTTTCCACTATTCAATGAATCCCAAGTGGCGCCGATTCTTGGGCATGATGGTTTCCCTCAGTTTTCGAGTGGTGCGGCTTTGGGGTGTACAACGGTGCCCTTTCAGTGCATGAGAATGGACGTCCTTAGATTGATAAGTGCCTGTGCTGTGCTGTTCTTTTGCAGTCAATATCCGTGTATAAGTTTTTCATGAGCACGGCCAAAGGTTCAAAGTATGCGCTGTAAATGCAGCCGGCGTTTGGTGGCCACACGGCATCATGTCGCATTGGTCAACTCCAGCCCTGTCCCACCGCAAACGTGCCGTTCATGCTGAAGTCTGACAGGTGCTGGACCCAAAGTTCTGCTGCTCACGTCGTCAGAACCGTGAGAAGAGATTGGGTCGGCATATGTAAACCGTGGCAGTTGTGTTGAAAAGTTTGGCCTTTTGCCCGTTTTCCGACCATGGAAGCTGACAGTGACCATTTAGAAGATTGCGGCCCTGGCCATAAGGATAGTCCCGGGTTGATGCAAATGAGCAAGACCGTAAACACGTGCAAGGATGACGACCTTGTCGGGGCGCACGTCACGGAGAGCGGACAGATAGCGCCCTGCCTGCAAGGTTTTAGCTGACCTGAAACAAATCGGTTCGTTTCGGATGCAGGCAGAGTTCTCCCTTGGTGCAAGCTACCATCTGGAGCCCGTTTCTTTGAGCCCTTTGAACGGGTGAAGTATGTCACACTCAGACTTTTAGAACCCACCCTCTACGGGTTTGCTGAAATGGCCCCAACCCAAGCTACCTTCACCCGGCGGGGTGGTTGGGGGTCTTTTTGTGCAACCATGATCCAACCATTAAAATCCAGGACACTTGGGGAATTTGCTCTTTCCTTTTGGTGCAACTTTGCTTCAACCCGGATCAGTCAATCCTCAATCCTTACAAGTAGTTTGCATGTGTTTTATCTTTTGGAGACAGGGCCTGATTCAGTTTGACTGGGGGTTGGGGAACGTGTTAGGTGGGCCTTCGTTCTTGGAGCATGTGGGCAAAGGACAATGTTTCCCTATTATCGGTTTCGAGTGATCACGTATACAGAGCAATATCTGTCAATTGTGGTAATGTTGCCAGCTGCTGATTTGAACACTGGACCTCCAGTGGCCACCAACCAGCAACCAGAGACAGCTGCCCAAACCAGACGTGGGTGTGCATGTTTTTCTTTCAAGTACCTTTTTCGCCTTCTTTCTTCATGGGCACCACAAGAAAACCGCAATTTGGGGTTCCAATTTTGAGACACACACAACCATGGCCAAGGCAAATCCCAAATTGGACGGTCGAGAGGTGCACATGGTGCAGCGGCCGCCCGCCACCTCGGCATCTTCCACAGCGGCCCCGCATGCACCGGCCGCTTGTATTCCAAACGGGCACGTTTGTGTTCGACGTTGTTCAAAGGAAGGGCAAAACAAAACCGCCCAAGTTGGAGCTTGCTCTATGTTAAGACGAACCCGAATTCCGGAATGCGAATTTCTGTCCGGTTGTTACACCCTTCGGACATATCATAATAAGCAGCTTGCACTAAGTGAGAACCGGAAAACCCTGAAATTTGACTCCGACTTTAGAGCGTGATAGTTTCACTAGCTGTGTGTCCTTGCAAGTTTGGTAACTCGCGGGGATGCAGGATGATGCTTGCCTGACATGCCAGTTTTGCGGGCTTTGAGTTGTCAGGAGTGCATGGTGGCTTTCATGTTGGAAGTGGCCCACTTGGGTGCTAACTTTTTCGCAGTTGACTGCAGCCGTAGCACAGCTTTGATCATTGCCAGCTACCAAATTCAAAGGAAGGCAAGCCTGAACTTGCCCTTGGGCCACCAATGGCCATTTCACTCTGTCCTTTCAAACCCTGGGGTCCAGTGGAGTTATCCAGTAGAAAGCCCAGGTTCAGGTGCACTTTATGCCCCCGGAGTTCCGCGGAGGCAGGCCTCGGAAACTGGGTAAACAGGTCCCCCTCCCCACCCAGGAAATGGCTCCTAGCTTAGGAGGCTCGGAATTCTTCTGCTGCGGGGGGAAAGCGGCGTAGTGACCTGATTGCCTTTGATTTGAGGGTTCCAGAAGGAAGCTGATACAAGCCATTTGACGCCATCCAGATTTTCCGTTGTGACACAAGCCTTTGGTCAGTGAATCTCCTTCAAGATGGCTGGTGCCATTATGTACGCAGGATCGCAGAGAAGCCAGGCATGCTCAAGGGGGAGATGGACGTGCGTTTTGATTCGATGGTGCATTATCTGTCCGATTGGTTTGAAGGGATTGTAGGGCAACTTCTGTGAGTTTTGGCACATACCCAGGGCACTGACGCGTCACGCCCTCTTGCTGCTATGTGTGTGTGTGTGTGTGTGTGTTTTTTGAGCCTCAAGCCTGATTGGTCACTGGCATGTGGGGACCCCCAAAGTCGGGGGGTGTCCTGTTGGTGTCCCAAAAACCACCCCACGTTGGCGGTACCCATCCCGTCGGACCCCGGCTTGTTTTGCATATATGTTTTCCTTCATGCCCGCTGTCTGGACGCGCTAAACATGGTTTTTCCTCCAGTTTATGGCATGGAGTCTTTTGAGGCCTGTCTGTCAGGGTTGTTTTGGTGACAGAAGGTGTTGCATATGTGGCTTGTCACTGCACGTCAAGCTCCGAGCTAAGTTAAACTCGAAGGAATGAAACCGGACAGAGCCACGTTGACAAGCATGGCTTAGTTCTGGCAGTGGACCCGTTTCAACCAAGTCGTTTGAATTCCAGGAGTTACACCAGGCTTTGCATGTTGGCACCCCTTGTATGTTGGCAAGAGGGCATCACTACACCAAGACCGAATTGTGCCATTTGGATACCTATAGGGCGTACCCACCCGCCCGGGGTACTAACTGCCGTTTGGACGTCCAAACGGCTCACAGCTTGCGTTACGCGGCGCTGAGCTTGATGCTGTAGCCTTTGAGCGAAGCATGTGGGAGCCATGCAACGACATCGTTGGTTTTGAGATTCCCTCTCCTTTTTTATTGTCTGATTGTTCCAATTAATCGATTTTGCCCATGGGGCGGACCACCCAAATAACCAAGCTTGGGTTGAGAACGCAAGCTCAAGTGATCAGAAGTGACATAATGTGTGCCACCGTAGGAAAGTCTGACTTTTTGGGCACTTTGGGAGAAGTGACTGTTTTCGGTCAGAGTGACTGATTGTAGCGCACGAGATCTCATTTCAGCCTTTTGGAACAGCGTAAGCACAGTTGAGATGGATGCACCACCCAATGTAAGCCCTTCCGCATCATTACAGCCAAATTGCACCCATCGCACCAAATACATTTATGGATGTTTCATGATGCTTCACTTGTTGGCGGGCACAGTGCCAAACACTGGTCCGACATGTACAGAAAAAAACATGCTTGCCATGACTTCTCAGTACATCCGAAATGCATCGTTGAGAGTCGCTTGCCGCTTTTGACCCCAGGGCAGATTTGTAAGGTCAAAGTGGCAGTTTGGGGGTCAAGTGGCATGAAACCCTGTGGAGTGGCATAAACACCCATAGGAATTCCATCTCAGTGGCCCAAAGCGAATCTTTTGAACCTTTTGTGGTCCAGCTTTGGGCAACTGAGCTATGCAAAGCGGAACTTTGGGCGAGCAGGTTTTTGGAGATGTGGTTTTGTGTGAGGCAAACTCCTAGCCTCCCACCCAGCTTTGAGTAAACATGCGGAAAAACGATTTGCTTTTAACCATGCTTGCCACGGGACAATCAATCACTTTCAGGAAAGTGATTGATTTTCAGTCACTTTCAGCTGCCCCTTTCGCGGTTGCGAGAACCAAAGGTAAACACCGAAGTGGGCTGTATATCCCATTTGGAGGCCAACCGCCCGTTGCCCAGTTGGCGGTTTTCCGCCAGGCCCGGGCCCCGGTATGCGGCCCTTCATGCCGCACGCAATGCCCGGGGCTCCCACGGTGATTGGGCCCATGATGCCCCCCATGCCAGCGCCGGGCGGCTTCTACCACCCGCCCCAGATGTCTGGCATGCCGCCCTTTCCACACATGCAGGCAGGAGTTTGGGTTGCCACTTTCATTCGGCCGAAAATGGTATTTTGGAGGGAGTCCCTTTGATCCAGTCGAATAGTAGCAGAAGGAAGGCTACGCCACGCCTGACTTTTTGGGGCCCGAGCCTCACTCTTTTTCTCCGGCTGCATACTGAATGCGAGTGCAACCTTTGGGCAAGTACTTTGCACACACACACACACACACACACCCCAAGAAACATCCCGCACCCGTGAATGTGTCCATACGGCCTCGTTTTCCGAAAGCTAGCCTCAATGACTCAAAGAGGCATTGCTTGAATAGGGGGGTGGGAGACGGTGGCAAGAAGGGGGCAATGGCGATGCGTTTTCCCCAGAGTCTGATTGGAGCCATTGGCAAGTTTCTTTTTGCAGAGGTGATGTTATAGCGAGAGAGTAATCAGTTGGCACATGGACCCCGAATGGTCCTGGTTGAAATCTCATACGTGCATGTACCTATTGCTTGGTTCAAGTGTTTTGCTGGCATGGTGTGCGGTCAGGAGGTCCGGAGGGTGCCTTTTGGTACCTCAAAGGCAGACGCCGAGCCAACAGGTCTTCCTTCAGCAAGGCTTCAACCCTCCGCCTCCGCCTGCCGTCCGCGTGGAGGCGCGCGAGGCGGCGCTGGTGACTTTTCTTCACTTGGCGTGCAGAAGAGCAGGGGGCACGCCATATTCCCCGGCCTTGGACTGGTTTTCTTTACTTTGCCGTGTTTCTCGTGGAGGACTCCTTCTGCTTTACAATGATTTGCAATAGTGTGACGCCATCTTCATAATTGACATCCACCTTGCCGGGCTCTTTATCTGAAGCTGGCAAGACTTGCTTTCACATCGGCAGCGAGTTTGTTCACCTTGGACAGCTGTTGTTCATCTAGAGCCCTTTGTAGCATGCGGCCTGTTCAGAACAAGCAACAACAATGAGCACATCCCCGTGCTGAGAAATCAAAGTTAAGAGACAAACACATCGCATTCCTGGAGGGGTGATACATGTACTTGTTTCTGGAACTGCGCGTCGCAATACACCTAAGACCTGCACCAACCCTCATCCCTCAAACCTATCCGAAGCAAGAACACACTCTCGAGCTAAGCCATCGCAAGGATGCCTGCTGTTCAGAAAAGTACGGCTCACAGAGTATTACATTTATAAGGGACCAGCTAAGATTCCGTACCGTACCAAATCGGAATGCAAGTAAACTGCAATGGCCTTATCGCGGAATCACCTCCTGATTGCATTTGCCAAGTAGCCCAGAATTGTCGATTTCACCAAGAGAAGCTTGCGAAAAATCATAGTTTTTTTCGCAGAACTTGCCATTTACAGTCGGGAAGTGCCATCAGTCGGAAAGTTGGCCCGAGAAAGGCGATGTTGGTTTCACTCTCTTTCAGCCACCAGGGAATTGGCTGTGGGTCAACACCAATGGTACCATTTCGGGGTAGGCGAATTCACCACCCATTTTGGAACCCATTTTAGTGGTTGGATTGGGATGCTCACTGGGGGTAACCGGGTTTTTGACGTGCCAATTGCGGCACCCACCTCCTTAGATTGACCTAAGGCACCGGACCGGAGCCCGGACCGGCGGGAGCTGCCCTGGCGGGATCTGCGGCGCTTGCACTGCCACCTCTCCACGGCCCTGGGACGGTCCAACCAGTTCCGCGCCGCGGCCGACGCGTCCTAACAGCCCAGGTATCCAAACCCTCCGGAACCCTTGAAAGCTGGCCGAGACCTCATCTGGGAAACATTGGAAACATTTGTGCTTATTGTGGTTTTGTGGGAAATCCCCACTGAACTGCTAAAATTTGGACTTTTGCTCCCCTTTCAACGTCAACCATTGGCTCATGGCTTTCAGCTGCTGGGGAGCCTACGGCCTAGCTTCTTTGCCGCACGAGTTTCTGATGGAGGGCTTTAACCAACCATATCTTGGTTGTTTCGTTTTTGAAGGAAACCGTACGGAGTTACATCATTGTGTTAATTGGGCCGATCCCAAAGAGGGGTTGCTCTAAGCGTACTGTTTGCTTTAACCTCAAATGCGCCGGTTGCTTAGTGTGTTGTTTTTACAAGCCTTCGCGTACCCTAGGAACTTGTCGGTGGCTTGCTGGCCACATGTTGACTTTCATGGTGAAGTAAGAGCCCGGCCCAAAGATGCCTCAAAAAGAAAAACAAAGCGGTTGTTTGCTTACCAGGGGTAGCAACACCGCCGGCTGCCGTGATTTTGGGTGTCCCAGTGTTTCTTTCAAGGGAACACATCGTAAGAATATAGTCGAGGGGCTTACCAAGTTTTGCATCCACTGGTGACCTTGTGACTGCTGGGAATTTGTTTAATGCTCTCACCGGCTCCCGCGAATTCAGACCCCTTTTTCAGACCTGATTCTAAGAAGCCTGCTTGTGGCCATTGGTTTCTTTTCCAATTGGCCCTGGCCATGGATAGGGGAAATATGGCTTTTGGATGCCAAGAGAATTCCCCTGAATGACTCAAAGTAGTCATGAGGATGGGAATTCCACTTTGGCATCGCTGAAAGGGTTATTTTGTCCACAACCATGACTGTGGATGGCCCACTTCATGCACCTGTTTGAGCGGGCCAGCATCTTGACCAGGAGATGGCGGAGAGAGAAACCAGAGATAGAGCGAGAGAGAGAAGGAAAGAAAGAACTAAACAAATAAATAAAGAGATACAGAGCGAGAGCGGGAAATACAAAGATAAAGATAAAGAGGCAGAGAAAGAAAGCGAAAAATATCAAGAGGAACATAATGAGAAAGAGACAGAAAGCGAGAGAGAGAGAGAGCGAGAAGACCGCGAGAAAGAGGAAAAGAGAAAGAGTGACAGAGAGAGAAAACAGAGAGAAAACAGAGAGAGAGAGAGAGATGGAGAGGAGGGAGAGAGGCGAGACAGAGAGAGAGAGAGAGAGAGAGAGAGAGAGAGAGAGAGAGAGGAGAGAGAAGCCTTGCCAAACACCACGCGAGGTCCGCAGTTGCCGCCGAATTTGCCGAACGCGACCCCGGAGGCGGAGCTGTCGGCGTTCCTCGCCTCTCTGCACGCGGCCACGTCGCAGCTCGGGGTGGCGGTGAGCGACATGCAATCCGCGGTGGGCGAAGGGCAGCGCCCGCAGCGCCTGCAGTTTACCTCCAGATTCATCAGGTTTGTGATATTCTGTGTTTCCCTGATTTTCTCCGATTTCTCAGTTTTTTTTCTATGGTTTTCTGTGACTTTGGGTGTTTTCCTTCTAAGCTTCTTGTCGGTTGCCTGTTTCTTGCTCAAGAAGCAGGGGTCCAAGACGCTTTGGCATGGTCTGCCGCACTTTGGCTCAGGTTCACGATGGTCCTGGCCTCTGCTGGCCGCGTCTTCCGGTCCCTGTCCAGTGCGCTGATGAATCCCCCTGAGCAGGACGGAGATGACTTGGAGGGGGCCCCTTGAATGTCTTAATGGCCCCTTTCTCTTTTCGATTGATTGGGTTGTTTCACCCAAATGAGAGGAACAACGCAAGAACGTTGCTCTTTGTTCTGTAAAGGCATGCCCCTTAAGTTCTAGAACTAACCAACAGCACTGCAAACCGATACAGGGAGAACACAAGGGAAGCAGGTCAGCGTAGGTGAGTCTTTGATCTTTCTCGCACAACAAGTGCACTTGACCGAGAACCAGACCAATAGCCAAGCAACACTGCTTGATGATTCAATCCTCGCGCCACCAGTAAGCCTTTGCCACACTAAATATGGATACAACCACGGAAAAATAATGCGGGACGGGAAGACCTACCGCTAGACAGGAGTGCTGCGGGAACATGGCAGGAAGACCTACCGCTAGACTGGTACGGTAAACATACAAGGGCTGACAAGATTGAGAACTGGTTCGGGGAAATGCATGATCTTTTTCGGCCGCACGTGTTTTCGAGAAACACGTTAAACAGAAAAAAAAACTGTCCAGACATAAAAAGAGTCACAGGGCTGTACTGTATTCTCCAGCCCTACTTACTTGAGCTGAACCGGGTGGTTAGGGGAGGCCCAAGCTTTCGAAGCACAGCATAGTCGCTTCCTCACCCAGATAGCGTAAGTGACTGTCCCAACTCCCAACTATACGGACACTGGTGCTGACATTTGCCGTTTTGACTCTGTCTTTTTTCTTTTTTTTGGTTAGACCGTTTTAGTACCAGGTCTTGATTGTGCCTCAACTGCTTTGGCCGTGGGACCCGTCGCAGGCGGAGGCGAGAGATCGAGACGAAGCTTGGAGCACATGTTGGGACATTAAATCCGAAGCGGCAATGCTAGTGGGGATGGTTGCGAATCCATGTCACCTTTTTTCAGGGGGAAAAAAAACGGAATGATTCGATTCCCTTGTAAATACCTTGAACCAATGGTTGAACATGGTTTCAACGTGGTGCAGGATTTCGTTCATCCGCAGGCTCGGGTTCCGGCATCTTTACGAAAGCGTTGAAACCTGCCTGTTCGTTTGGCCAGGGAAAGGCTCGAATCAACCTCACCCGAGGACCTTTTTTTGTCGTCGTTCGTTGTAGCGACCAAGTTGTATCGTGGCCCCGGGCAAGGTCCTCCTTTGACGCATTTGGACATCTGGGCAGTGGCTTCTTTGAAGCGAAATCAAGCGCCCTTGCACAGGGCGCCTGGCTGTTCATGAAGGTTAGCACAGGAAAAACAAAGCAGCACATGACCCAGCGACTCCTGTAGCTCACGCCCGGGGAATTCCGAGGCTGTTGCCAAGGGCCGGTCCCAGACTTTAAAGATTCTGCTTAAGTAAAAAAAACAGATGTAGACTCAACAGCCTAACGCACGGGCGGGCCAGAGGTGACACAAGGAGGGCTGTTGCCATGCCCTGCCTGTAGATGTCCCTTGGGCCGTGCTCTGGAGAAGCTTGGTTCGGAGCTCGGGCCAAGCGTCTCGCGGGTTAAGACGGTGCACACTCATCCCCTGAGACAATGTTGAGACGGTAAATCGTTGTATGGCTGTGGGTCAAAATCTTACCTCTTAAAAACACAACTTTTCAACTTTTTGGGGGTAACATGGGCTATATGTCTGTAAAAGATTAACTTCCCCAGGGCTTGGAGTTTTAAGGGGTAAGAAATGCGTACCCAAAATGGAACCCTGATAAATGGAACCAAAGACTAAAACCTGCGGTCCCCTGGTGGGTTTATTTTGAGCCACACCAATATAGTGCTCTAGGAGGGAGGGCTGCACCACTCAGCATTCAGCATTACCGTAGCGACTCAAGTTTTCAGAGCTGTCGTAGCATGCTTCCACTTGCAGCTGCGCTGGATTGCTATCCTGCGATTAAGGGAAGCCCAGCTATTTCATGCTACTCAAAGTTTAGAGTCATTCATCAATCTGCCTGTTTTGTGACAAGCTCACCTGAAGGATAACGAGCTCCCCATGAAAAAGGTCCTTTGCTTGGGTCCCCATGGTCCCCTAATTCAGCTTTTGGAGTTATAGCAAGAATTGCGGATCAATGGCCATGTTTGAGGTGTGCTAGTGATCCTTTGGAAGAAGCTGGCCTGAGGTGCAGCCGCTTTTGGCTAGCACCTGGCATGCGGTGCCGCAGGCGCCTCAAAGCATAGCGTCGACCTTTGCAAGTTTACGGGTGTATGTGGGGTAGCATAAACCTATGCGTATAACATACACATGTACATCTACGATATATATAATGAACGTACATGTATGTATATATGAACACTATACATAGATGCTAGATACAGATGCTGTTTATATATATATATATAAACATGTGTAGGCTCTTGAAGTTTGCAGGACAACACACAAACATATTGGAATGTCACCGCCAGTGCTGTTGCTGCGCTTGCGGCTAGAATTGCTGTTGGGCCTGTTGGGCCTGTTGCTGCTGCTGCTGCTGCAGCAGCTGCTGCTGCTGCTGCTTCACGTTTTCGGCTATAGTTGCACCCTAGTTTGCAGGTTAAATGCACGTCGTTGATTTAGCAATCCTTTGTTTACAGCGTGTCAGCTACTTACAACTTGTGCATATTTGTGCATGAAACTGGCTGTTGAATCTTCGAATGCCACTTATTTCTGCATTGGACGAAAATGCTTTGATCAAATGATACATGGAACTAATACGTGTTGGTGACGCCAAACTGCACGGGATTCGTTTTTGTCTTTTGCCAGGCCTGCACCACGTCACGCTCCAACAGGCCATGTTTGGTGGAACTTCGGCTTGGCCGTAGGCAGAACTCTTGGAGATGCCATCGCCAATGTGTTTCAATCAATCCCGAAACACTACAAAGGAAACACACAAAGTGATATATATATATATAGATATATAAGTTTGATGGCCGCGCCCCGCAGCTCCCAAATCACAATGGGAAGAGCTTGCGGATGCTTCTGAAGCGTGCTTTTGGCGCTTGGGAAGCCCAAGCAACGTGGGCCCATTTCGTTCAGGTAGGTCGCCCTGAGCACCTGGCGCGGCCCTACCTCAGCGCCTTGCTGCGGGATCTGCGGCAGTTTCTGCAGCAACAGGACCCAGCAGCTGGACCGCAAGGCAGAGCCCAAGACGTCCACGCGCAGCTGAATAATGTACTTAAGTTATCGAAAAAGCCGCATAGGTATCCGTTCATGTGGGGTCTTTCCGCAGCTGTTCCAGGCTAGGTGAATCCCAGAACATTCAGGTTGAGAGCATGGCCAGAGAATTGTGTGGAGAAGTCATGTGTTACGTGTTAGAGGGGTCGCGGGTTTCCCCAGACCGTCAAGTTGTAAGGCTTCTCTCAACCGCACCTGCTCAACACTGCACGCACACGCCTGGCAAATGGTAAGCGCGCCCGCCGCAGCAATGACCCGCAAGCTTGAGCCCTTTTTAATCATTAGTTGCTTCACCGATCGGGTGGGGGGGGGCAAATGAAAACCAGCAGCCGTTCAAGATGTGATTCCCCTAGTGAACTAGGGGGTTATTAACCGTGGGTCAGATTTTTTTGGGTTCAATGTCCACACCGCCGAGCAGACGAGCCTCGCAACATGTAATACTATTTCGTGCCTGCCCGTCGGCATTGTGACATGTTTTTGGAACCTGTTGGGCTTGAACTTAGGCCTCTCCAAGTGCCGCGTCCCTTTTGGCATTTTTGAAAGCGGTAGATGACTTTGCAGCCAAGGAAGTCCTGCGCCAGCATCCCAACCTTCAAATGGCCCGCGGGCCGCCGTGAGAATCCCGCAAGTGAGTCGACTTGCGGGAAAATGGAGCGATCCAGGGGGTCCCGACCCCGACAACCATGGAATTGAATTGGGGCGAGGGTGAGCAGAGTGGGCAAAAACAACGCAGCCCCCAGCACCGTTGAAATCGGAAGCGAGGAGGTCGCTTAAAATATAGCGGCTTAAGGTCGGAGTCCCCACCCTGTGGTACCCGTGGTCCCCTTGATTTCACCTATGGCAAGCCATAGCTGTTTTGTGAGGAAGACTGCGCCAACGGAACCGGAGGTTCCCTCATTCAGCCTTTAGGTAGGGAAATGCCAGGAGAAGATACAAGTTTCACTATGTGCGCCTGTGAAGCGATGCGACATGGTTGGCTAGCTGCAACTGTCCAAGGCATGTCCAAGACAACCTATTCCAGGAACCATGTACTGGAAAGCATCGTGTACCTATTTGATACCCAGGCGCCTTTTCGGCGTATATTTGTATGACATTTGTTTGTGTGTGTGTACAAGTATATGTGCAAGACAGATTGCAGAGTCCTTAGGGCCAGATGCCTTTTTGCCTTAGAACCTGTGCTTGCGGGTTTGGCTGACCCCCATTTGTATTGCAAGCGCGACGTAGGCCCGCTTCGTTTTGTTTGAAGGATTTCTGAGCAGAGCTAGCTCCGGCAACTTCAGACGTACCAGGGTCAGGGTTCCTTGGGCGTTCGGCAGGATCAAACGGTGCGTCGTCAGAGTCGTAGAATTAACGAAATTGGACATCGAAGTTCGGAAACATCACACACGCGCAGGACTTTAAACAATCACGCCGTACGCAACCTAAGAAGAGCAGGGGGCGCCAAATTGAAGGCAGCAACAACATTAGGCAGCATTTCAGATTATTGCTCGGGAGGGAGTTGTCTGTTTTTAACGGTGGCGCCCAAAGTCCTTCACAGTGCCCGGTGGGTTCCCTGTATGCTCGCGCATGTCCATGCATCTGGGCAAATTGTGACGTGGCTACCCACAAAGGTCCTTTGGAGGGGGGCTCCCTTTTGTCCGGTGTGGCAGCTGTGATACCCACAGAGTGGGAGCTATGATACCCACAGTGGAGCTATGATACCCACAGAGTGGGAGCTATGGTTGTTGCGGATTTGGAGTGAAGCGGATTTCTGAGGTTCAAAAAGGCGGAGCTGGTGGCTCTCCCCGGGGAGGACTTGGTTGAGGCCGATTCGCAGCTGTCGGAGTGGGGATCGACCCCGCGGTTCGGTCCAAAACCGCGTGCAGGCTTGACATTCTGCCCCGAGTCCGTAGCCATCCTTTGGCAGGGTGGGATCACTCGGGGCTTATCCAACCACTTCTGTGATACTTTCGGGAATCTCCCCCTTTATATGGGGTGTTAGTCTTTGGGGTTAGGCCCTTTTTGTTGTATCACAGTGGATTCCATTTCAACCACAGCCCTCTTCTTTGGTGATGCATGTCCATGGATTCAATACCTTGGGTTTCCAGCGTCTTTGCACCTTGTTTGGATTTGTGGCATGCTTCGCCCTGCCAGCCTGAAATAAAATTCTCATAGGGCACAGCTTGGAAGGCAACTGTGAGACCGGCAGTCGCTTCACAGGCCATGGTTCTATCGGATCTTTGGCTGCAGACTTTCCGTTGGTGAATTGCTGCCTTGTGAGATTCGCCATGCATGATGCGCAAGGGCTTCGCACGCCGAAGAACGCACTGCCGAAACTCGCAGTTGGTAGTTACACCCCCCAGTCAAAATGAACATTGAAGTGCATTCATATGTGTTTTATGGCTATTAGGCTATTTTGGTTGGATCTTTGGAATTTAGCTTTTTGGAAAACAGTGGACATTCCAGTAGACCCACGAAAGTGAAACTTCTTTGCAGAAAGGTCAGCAGCAACGAAGTGATGATGTGACAGAAGCATGCGAGTGCCTCGACATGTGAGGCAACAATCGTTGGCTGCTGGGGGCCACTCATCGACCAGTTCTTTCAGGCACACCGGATTAGAAAGTTAGAGAGGCTCAGACGTTGAGTTAGCGGCCCGTGAATTTAGTGGTTGAGGCGACAAACAGAACAACTTTGTCAAACGCACAGCAGCCAGGACCCGACATTCAAAGAGTGAGATTTTGGGAAGGCCCCCTGTCCATGTTTTGTTTGTGGCAACCTTTTTTGACCCCTTTTGAAGAGTCGGGCGCACTAAGGCTTGGCAGGTTTGACTTTTGGGAAGTGAAGGGACGCTAAAGGCAAACCGAAGCCCATTTCCAGGCACCACATGGAAATACAAGCCTATTTAAGCAACTCTAAAAGACAGCTGCAAAGAACGGGGTCCCATTTTAGGACCAGTGCCCCGCCCGGCTTGACTTTCAAAGAAGCTTACCACAAGGGTCCAACAAACAGGGGCATCCCCTTCTTGAACAATCCTACAATAGGACCGCCCCCTTTCCTCAGCGATGTGGAAAGGGGAAAGGGTGCAAGAAGTTGCCATGTTTCAAGAGTTGTGGGAATGAACCGGAAGGGGATCCCTAGCTTTTTATGGGGATAATTCTCACATGCCATTTGTATCCAACCAGCAAGTGCGCAAGTGAAATGCGAGTTTCATGGCTTCCGCGGATCCAACAATGGAACCATGGAGAAGGCTATTGTATGCAAAGCGCTTTGCGTGTGCAACCAGCAAGTGGGTGTGTCTTAAACATCCCTCAACCCCCCCTTCCCCGACCCCCCAAAAGAAACAAGCAACCAAACTTGGGGGGGGGAAACAAAAAAAAGGCAGAACAAAAAGCAACAATAACAGAACCGAAGACGGTGGTTTCTTTTGCTTATTTGCCCTTGAGAAGCCGCCCCAAGACCTCGCAACCCCCTAGAGGCTTTTTCGGGGAGGGCGGGGGTTAGGTCCGCGCCTGGAGCCCGGCGGGGGCCGGGCCCTGGAGCCCCTCCAGCGCGGCCATGCAGGCGCCTGGGAGGAGTGGGGCGTTTTAGGACCCCGCTGTCAGGTTCCATGTTCTCTGGTGGGAGGGTAGCATCCCCAACGTGCAAGAGCCGTAAGTTCTCTGAGGTGGTTTCCCCTAAGAAGACTTTGGTGGGTGAAGCTGAAGACGTCAGGTGGCAAGACCCTTTATGAGGTGGCAAGACCCTTTTCGTGAAGACGTCAGGTGGCCAGAGCTGTCGCAGCTTTTGTGGGTGCGACGTAGGTCGTAGGCGTTTTCACGGCTGCGTTTGGCGACTCCCGTTGGACTATTTGCTGAAGAAAAAGGTAGGTGTTATTTCCCCCTGGTGTTCAGGTAACGCTGAATTGGTGGTTTGGATGGTGGTTTGGGATTTCGTCCTGGTGGTTTTTTAGGGGAATCTAGCACTGCTGGAAATATGATTGTTTTGTTGAGGGGGCGGAAGCAAATGGAAGAAGACGTTCTTCCCTTAAGGGACCGTTTGGTGGGTTCCATAGACAGGAGGGTACACTTTGGGTGGTTGGAAAGGCAAATCTGCAGCGAAATCTCATCATGTAAGACCATTTTGGGGGTCCCCAATTTTAAGACACCATTTTGGCCTGGTGAGCCTTACTTGGATGATGTTGTAAGGAGAATAAACCGGGAGTGACTTTTGCTGGGATGGATCTCCTTTCGGTGGGGAGCCACCACAGCACAATCTGCTGCAACCTCCTTCTGGTATTTTTTGTTTTCAAGGGTTGCCTATGGGCTTCCCTTGATTGGCTTTGAGGGCAAACCAAAAGGACACCGTCGTTCTGTGGTCCCACAAGTTTGAGAAAAGGTTTAGCTTGGAGTGGATTGCAGCCTTCGGATCTCTTTTTTGGTGGGTTCCTGGATTCCCACATGGAATCAACCAGTTGGGCTTGTTGGGGCGCCTGGATTGCCACCCAGCAATCCATTTCAGGGATGTGCGCTTTGCTCATGGCAGCAATGGTTTCATTTCAAGCGGAACTGTGCTTGTCAGTTTGCACTCAACCAGGAACTGGCAAAGGTCAGCTGCTTCGCCGATCAATGCTCATATATGCTGGCAGGTGATCAGTTCGCTGGGTTGTGTTTGGCATCCGCAGGACGTGGTTTGGAAAAATCTTCCCGCAGAGAGTCTTCACGCATGCAGCGGATGCGAGCCCTTGACCCTCTTATCAACATGTTCACCTTGCTGGAGACCTCCCTGCTGCGTGAATACGCCGCAAATCAAATTGCAAAGCCGATGACCAGACTGAAATTGGGCAGCAACCAGCATTGGGCATTGAGTGGCTGGGTGGATAAACTTGCGAGGACGACAGGAGACTCTCAGGTTTGACACGCCTGGCCCTTTCTACATGTTTGAACTCTTGTGTGGCCGGACCCCATCGGGCAAGTCAATGGCCCAGGTTCAACGGCGCATGCGAAGTTGTCACCACAAAATCAATCGCTTCTGATCACTTCTGGTGGTACTCAGACAAGTCGTGGACCACGACCTAGTGTCGCCTGCCGGGCGTGGGCCATTGGATTTTTTTTCCCTTGACAGGGGTCTGTAAGGATGCCGGTGGGTTGTTTGAACATCTCAGGATGCCAACCTGAAATGAGTTTTGCCCGTCTTTGTTGAAGGGACCCATGAGGAACCCTTTTTGTTTCGCAGGGTTCCTTGCGACAGGCCCTCTGGGAAAGGATGGCTAGTCAGATGGGTTTTTGCAAGCCTTTCAAAGAGAGCAATGCGGACATCTCGCAAGGTGGATCCAGAACGGCCTACCAAGCCAGAGGCTGCGGGGGTGAGTCGCAAACGCACAGAGAGTCTCATATGCAGGTGCGGCCCCTTTGGGTTATTTGCATGGTTTTGGGTAGACCCTCTTTATACTTGGTTTTATCATGGCAGGCTGCAAATGATGCGGATTTGAAGAGATCCATACAAATCATCCTCTTTGGTTTTTCCCCTCTAATGATGAATTATCGAAATCATGTGTTGAAATGAGTCGGATTGCAATGGGTTCCACTTCGCTCCTCGTTTGGCCTTTGCCCTATCTTGGGAGCACACACAGATTCGAAGACCGCAGTTTCCAGTATCAATCTATAGCACCAAACAAGAAGAGC